CCCCAAAACCCCCAAAACCCCAAAACCCCATCTGACTAGATTTTAACATGAGATAATGGTAATATTTATATCTTAAAAATAAATTGAATGTAATTTTTGCAATTAAACCTAGAAGATATTTGATTCTAATAGAAATGAATATCAATCGAAATCAGGCATGCATGAAATTGCTGTTTTTCCAAATCCAGCTTAACCGTCATATATTTTGAAATATCCAGCCTCTCCCCATGTAGTATCCCATTGATTTTAAGCTATCCAATATAGTCTTCCATTATCATAATCCCAACCTAAGACCTGAACTGCATGTGCTCCTCTTACATAAGCACTATTGCTAACTTCATAAATTCCAGTATTGTATGAGGTGAAATCAGAATATATGAGAAATGCAAACATACTGGGCCCATTAGTCATAAGATCCTATTTAATATCTTCACTGTCTATCAAAATCTTCATTGAATTAAACCTGCAGCCGTATTTTTTATATGGAGTTGATTTATCATCACATCTATACTTGCATGATGTGGTTTATCCAGCAGTTGAACTATATGATAGGCATTCATGAGAAACTACTCCGTGATTGATAAGATAGTTAACTGATGAAGAGAGCCATCCTCCACTGCATCCAGAGTTAGAAAAGTCACAGCTAACCATGTCTTAAGAAGATAAGTCAACTATAACTGAGCCACCACTTTATATACAGAATCTGTCTTGAAGAAATCCAGTTGCTGCAAAAGCCCAGCAAGAACCACATCTATTCTGATCTTTCACAGGATGAGTACATGCTGCCATTTAAGTGCGCCAATCAAAAGAAGTTGGTAAAGTAGCTTTCAATCTTAGTTTATTCTCATTCTCATGCTCATGATGATATGATTCAGATTTTCCTCCAGTGAGTGTATCAAAGAATCCTTTTAAATGCTTGAATGCTAAATTCTTAAGGTTAGACTATAAGTCTTTCTTTTCTATTCCGAGTAGACCAAATTTCATGTTAAATTCAGCTGGGTCCAAATCCTTAAAAGGATTATCTTCTACTTCGAATGGCTTCCAATTTACATTGGATTTCTTGATGTTTTCAACAACTTGATGATTAATTGGATGGGTATCTCTATCTATAACTTTCTAATTGCTCATTGAAATAAGCAAGGCAATAGCAGTTGAATATATTATTGTTTTCATTTCTATTTATATAATGATCACCTAATAATTACCAATATTTAATCTAGATGGGGTTTTGGGGTTTTGGGGTTTTGGGG